CACTAATATATAATGTATGATTAAATTGAAATGGTTTAAATAAAATTTTCTGAAAGGGGTTCTCATATAGAAATTAGATTATTAATATGGCTCAGTTAACACAATTCATTTGAGTTTTATTTATAAAAATTCAACAGGTTATTACTTACATATGTATATGAAATCCATGGCCATTTATGGATCTTTTATCACCTAACTCCGTAAAACTCACGTGAGTTCTCTGTTTCTTCTGTATTTTGTAGTTTATTTGGATTAAAATTAAATACGGAAGAAAAACAAACTAACAAATTACCACAGATCAGATCAAGATCGTACACACTGATACTCTTATCCAATACTTAGACCAGATTTATGTTAACCAGGTGCTCTGGATCAACTATATGCTAAGGAACAGATGGGTAAGTTGCGAGATGTAAGATATAACTATCAGGAAAAGGGTATTAAGCGGTACACCATAAGGTGGCATTGTGCCCCCTTTACTTTGAGTAACCACGATTAATAGCCTCCCTCCTAACGAACCTAACCGCTAAAGACCGTAGACCTGTCTGATATGCAGACGATGTCGTCATATTTCTAAGGGGAAAGGATCCAAATTACTTGCGTAGAAGAGCTGGAAAGGCTCTGAATACGGCTTTGAGCTAGGCTCAGCCGAGAAGCTTCAATGTTAACCCGGCAAAGACGGAAATCTGTCTTTTGACAGAAAAACAAGAAGATACCGGTGGCAGACAGAGTTAAGTACTTAGGTTTTATTCTTGATCTGAAATTTAAATGTAAACACCACATATAGGATAGGATCAACAAAGCATATCGGTGCTGGGCGCTATGTAGGAGAAACATAGGCATGAAATGCGGTCATTAGTCCTACTACGACATATTGACTTTATAAAAGTGTAATTAGACCAATTATAGTTAATGCCTCAATAATCTGGTAGACTGCTTTGGACAAAAAGTGTAATATCATACTACTATAAGGAGTTCAACCTACTTGCTGCTTGGGTATAAGTGGTGCCATGAGTACTACGTCAACCAAGACTCTGGAAACGTTGCTAGATATTCCACCCTTAGAAACATACATATGTATATAACGGTTCAAAACTTTAGGCGAACTGGCCAAAAGCGGTTATAGGACACGTTATCAATGTATACTGAGACATTGGAAGGCTATACACAATCATCGGACGTGTCCGATGGCATACCAGACACAGAATATGTTGGAAATTTTGAAACACTGATCCCACGCTCCACCAAGACTCAGGAAACGTTGCTAGATATTCCACCCTTTGAAACATTCATATGTATATAAGATATGAGTCGGCACTATACTGCCGAACGGCTCATAACTTTAGGGAAAGTGGCAACGTCATCAATGTATACTGCCACATTGGAAGGCTATACGCAATCGCATACCAGACACTGATATGACGGAAACTTTGAAACACTGATCCCAGATAGAATGTCTTGATCAAGCTGGATATTAGAGCAAATACCCGTAGGAATCCGTTCGTAACGGATGGTTATAAATTGGGAGACAAAGTGGGCCAGGGGTTCTATATTGCATACTTCCAGAAATGGGCTCAGCTATACAGGCTTTCACTGAAATTAGATCCAAATATCTTGGGAGTGATTTTATCCGGATATAACTGATTGGAAAATTCTTTGGAATTACGTCCAGGAAACTCCTATCAGCCTAAAATAACCTAAGAGATCAAAAAATTAATAATTTATTCAATTAATACAGATATCACTCCTGTTATCTAAGTTAACGATCGTTGAAATTTGTTTATTTCAAACGTTAGAATATAATAAAATATTTCAAATAGTCTACATGATATGAACCGTTAATTTTGAAAGTGGTATGAGTCCACATGTTTTCAAAATGAGATATAGAATATTTAGCATTTTATTGTTTTTGGAGAAATTAGACACTTTCATAATATGTTTGTATATTACGTAAAAATTTAGTCTAATATACATATATGTATATATGTATGGATGAGAACAGAAACAGAATAAGAGAAATTTGATTTTATTGGATATACATGAGTTTTTCTATCAACTTATATACATACATATGTATGTATCTATTTAACATCATGAGATATAATGTATTTTATATATTTTTACACACATACATCTTAATAATAGAAATATGATTTTTTTAAGAATATTCCATCAATTCTGTTTAAATAATATTAGGCGCTACATATGTATATATGAAATGACAAACTTATACCCATTATTAACAAATATAAGGGTCTATTATGCGTTTGTGCTAATTTTTGTAACGCCTTAAAATATTGGCGTTACAATCATTCGTCTGTCCGTACGGTTAGCTGATCTGCACATGATGAGGGTGGTGGATAAGGTGATGAAATTTAGCGTATATGTACGTCTTGATGCAAAAACGAAGCCTATTGAAAATAGTTGAAATTGGTATTAATTTATTAAACATTTATTCCCCTTGACCCATTTAATCTGACATCACGGATAGACCGTTAGAGCTCATAATTATGGTGAATATACTAGTTGCCTTCTTAATAACAATTTATCAAAAGTTCATAAAACTCATTTTATATGAAAATTTGTCTAATAAAACTTTTATAAATTATTATGAATGTAGGGTAATCATATGGTCGACGATGCCCGACTATACTTGTTATTTTCTTTACATTCGAGGAAGTTAATATATATTGGCTAGTGAAGCATTCGTACATACGTACTACTACATACGTAATATAATATTTTTTATTAATAAATAATACAAAAAATTATAATAAAATAACAAATAAATAAAATTTGAATAATATCACGTACAATGATTAATATTGTTTTTGTTATTTTTCCTCTTAACTTTATAAGACAACTTACAATTGTCAATACAATACAAAATCGCAAGCATGATTGTAAGACCCGGAGTAAATTTTTATACCCACCATCAAAAAAGATGGGGGGTATATTGATTTTGTCATTCCGTTTGTAACACATCGAAATATTGGTCATAGACCCACAAAAGTATATATATTCTGGGTCCTCATTAAATTCTAAGACGATCTAGCAATGTCTGTCCGTCTGTCCGTCCGTCTGTCTGTTGAAAGCACGATAGAGTCCGAATGGAAAGAGCTAGAGGGTTGAAATTTCACATAAATATTTCTTATAGGTAAGGTTTGTTTGGTATTGGAAATGGGCAATATCGGTCCACGTTTTCGGATAGCCCCCATACAAGTGGCTCCTCGAAAAGCAGCTTTAACAGCCATAACTTGTTTAAAAATACGTAAGTTTCTTATGATCCAAAATCACTATGCAAAATTTTATGAGGATCGGTCCATAATTGAACCTACCCCTCATAAAAGGTCTCCTTCAGAAAATGACTTTAACGCTCATTACTGGCTTAAAAATACTAGTATATAGATGAAATTCGACATAAGTAAGTTTCTTATGATCCAAAATCACTATGCAAAATTTTATGAGGATCAGTCCATCATTGACCCTACCCCCCATATAAGGTCCCCCTCAGAAAATGACTCATTAATGGTTTAAAAATACGAGTGTAGCGATGAAATTCGACACAAATAAATTTAATACGAACCAAATTCTGTCTACCAAATTTTATGAGGATTGACCCATAATTGACCCTACCCCCCTATATAAGGTCCCCTTCAGAAAATTACTTTAACGCTTATAACTGGCCTAAATATAGGAGTATATAGATGAAATTTGTCATAAGTAAGTTTCATTCGAGTCAAACGAGGTTTGATGGTGGGTATATAAGATTCGGCATAGCCGAATATAACACTCTTACTTGTTTATACTTAGTTGTATCTTCTATTGTAAAGATTTACAAATTTAACTTAATCATTAGCTTCAAGGTCCTATGCGAGGGTGCGGTTGTATGTTGACTAGATTAAATAGTGGATCGATTTGAACCATTTTAAATAGAGTTCGTGTTTGGACTAAAGTGGTGTATGTGGCTATTACAGAATAGAGTTACAGAAGAACCACCCTCAACACCTTTTCGTACTGAGCTAAATTTTATACCCAAAATCAATAAAACACTTTTGTAACACATCGAAATATTGGCCATAGACCCATAAAAGTATACATATTATGGGTCCTTATTCAATTCTAAGACGATCTAAATATGTCCGTCTGTCTGTGGATAGGGAGCACACGGTAATAACTACTGATAACTGTTGTCTGATTTTCAAAATGATCGGTATCGGTCCCAGATTCCTCTTAGCCCTCATACATGTGGCCCCTCGGATTACAGTTTAAGTAAATAAGTGAAATAGACAGCACTCGTGATAAAAGCTTGGACATCGGACCTTAATTGATCCTAACCCCCATATAAGGTCCCCTGCAGAAAACGACTTTAACTCTCATAACTAGATTAGTAGATCTACGAAATTCGACATATACAATTTTTATAAGAACAAAAGTCTGTACTAAATATGATGAAGACCGCCACATAAAGAGAAGACCCTATCTCCCATTAAGAGTCCGCTTCAAAATATCAATTTGTGGCTCATAACTGGTTTAAAATTAAAAGTATAGGAACGTAATTCGATAAAAATAATATTTATAGGACCCTAAAATTTTCAACCAAATGTTATGTGGAACGATCCATAATTGGATCGATATATAATTCCTGACTAACACTGATTGGAAGATTCTTAGGAATTACGTTCATGAAACTGAGTTTCTAAATACTGAAAAATAATTCATTCAGTGAACTTTTTTTCACAACAGGCCCGAAAGTGGCCTAGGTGTATTTCTTCGGATTTGATGTAGTATACATCCTCCTATCAACCTAACCTAAGCTCCTTCTTCGATTTTTTGTTTTGTTCCCGGTTTTTTTAAACCAATTTTATAAACCTTTTGGAAAACCAAGATATGCATGATGTTAAAAAGTGACCAAATTTGAGTCCCCGCAGCGTTACACATGGCGATCTATGGACACTATTTTCAAAACTTGAATAAGCCCGAGTAAATATTCATACAAATCGAAATGACAAATTTATTTAATTACATCTATAATCTGCGTCTATTTTAAATTATTTTCATATAAAAGAACTCATTTCTTATAACTATTAGAACAATAATTTTAAACATTTCCAATTTCGATCTTTCGGTTAGCTAAACAAATATCTTTTACCAAATGCCGCAAAACTTTGCCATTCTTATTATAAGGAATTTCCTCCAAAAAGTACACACCATAGTGCAACCTCTTGTAACGTGCCTCGGTTTTACTCTCCACAAATTTCACTATATCTTTCTCTTTCAACCTGCTCTCCGCATGCTTGACGACCGCTGCAGCAGGTATATCGTTTTTCTCTTCGTCAAAAACACCAAAAACACAAACATCAATAACACCGGGTATGGTCATGACAATCTCTTCGATTTCGTGAGGTGAATAATGGAAATATTCATATTTCATGACATCCTTGCAGCGCTCCACTAAATAGAGATAATGTTCTTCATCAATATAACCCAAATCGCCAGTGTGTGTAAAACCTTCGGAATCGACAATTTGCTTAGTAGCCTCGGGATTATTGTAATAGCCCAACCATTTGTTAATCGAACTTACACATATTTCACCCAATTCGTTGACACCCAAACGTTCACCGGTAAATTGATCTACAATTTTCATTTGTATATTGGGTACAATTTTACCCACCGATTGTGGTTTATAGTCGCTGAAATTACATGCTATACCACCCGATTCTGTAGTGCCGTAGATATTTAATAAGTAACCTGTAGTTAGAACTGAACGTATACGTTTTTGTGTGGCTTCGGAACAGGCGGAACCTGTCATAAATATCAACTGTATACTGGACATGGCTTTTTGGGTATAGCCCGGCAATAGGGAGACTTGAACCATTTGTGAGGGACAGGTCATGAGAAAATTCACTTTATATTTTTGTATTACTTGCAGCATATATTGTGGTGAAAAGGGTTTTGTAGTTATAATCCTTATACCGCCTACTAGTATATTACAGATCAGATTGAATAGTCCAGTACCCCAATCTATTTCAGCAAAGGAAAACATGATGCTGGAACCATTTGTAACACTAAAACTTGAAATAATTAACTATATATGTATATCTTATGGAAACTTTAGTATAAAAATTGTTTAAATTACCAAAATTCGGTGGAAAAGAGTCTATTCGATAAGCAAACACCTTTAGGTAAACCGGTTGTTCCGGAAGAACAGCAAACGGCCACAGTTTGATTAGGACCATATTTTAAAGGTTCAGCTCTGAAAGTGAATTAACCGTTGATCACAGGGAAATTCATTAAAATTGAACTAATCGAAAATATTGTTATTGTTTTATAAACTTACCGATAGAACTGCTCTGTTGCGGTAGGTTCCAATAAATCCTCAATCTTCTTAACGTCACTCAAATGATTCTGTATTGTATAAATAATTGGCTTAAACCTTTGTGTGGCCTCTTTGACTTTATCATAGTGTATACCATGGCAAAATATAATTTTGGGTTGCGTAATATCAAACAAACGTTTAACCACATCTGTGAAAATGGAAAAATTTAATTAACAAATGCCCATAAATTATTCACTTTAAATATGTTCAGTCACTCGCTCCCACTCTCTCGCTCACCTTTTTCCAAAACATGATTAACAGCATGAAATGCATTTCCATTAAACCAGGCAGCCATAACAACTGGCATTACGTAGGTGGTATTGGGTGCTAATATACCAATAACATCGTCCACTGTAAGCTGCATTCTTTTAAAATGCTGAGCTAGACGTATCGCCGTAGTTAAGGCTTGACCATATGTTAATGTTATATTTTCAGAATCACTGATTTGACAGATTTCTTGGGGATTTTTACTGCGCATCATGAAGAGAGCTATTTCGCCCACCGAAACATTTTCATTAAACATTTGATTTCTTTTAGCTCCATGCCAAATTTTCTCCGCTTCATCGTATTTAACTGTAAAATCGAACATTTTTTGGGGTTTTCGTCTTCCTTGGTTTGTTGTGTGTAGTGCTTTCTGTTCAGTGTTTTGTTTAATAATAATTTAAAATTTGTTATCGAATTTGTGAATAATTGTTTTTGTGTAAATATTAAAAATAATTCGTTTTAATTGTTTTTTTATATCAGAATTTAATCTAATCTAAAAGTATTTCGATATTAAAAGACTGTTAAATAAAATACAACATTATTAGTTAACAATGTAATTGGCTATTACAGCAATAAACAGTTAATAGATAAATTAATAATTTAATGTTAAACAAGTAAGTAACTCTAATCGGACCTGCGTGATCGAATTTTATGAAGGATAGGGTTTCATGTGTGCGGTGTAACTAAAATTTGTAAGCCAGTTAAGTACATTTTCTGAAAGGGATCCTATTATCATTACACTCACAGATGCATGATCGAATTTTTGTCCCAAAAACATTGCAAGGCAAAAAGTAAGATCAAACATCGAAGGAAAATTCCCGAGCTATTACATATAACTATAAAATAAATTATCTTAGGAAGAAATTTGTCATTTAGATGTAGTATTTGCGAATGTTGGCACTCATCCGAAAAATATATATTCCTTCCTGTCAAGTGTTTGCTCGGTAGTACAGACAATGTTATTCAAGGCTGTTTATACAGACTACTCCTGAATATTCTAATTTATTCGATTAGTTAGTTTGTGAGGAGGATGTATGTTACATCCAACTCGAGTGTGTTGTGGGTTCTTTTACTAGTGTCTCTAATGGGAATCGAACCCACGATTTCCCGTCTAACAGGCTTATACAACTTACATTTCCTGCTATGTGACTTTGGGACAGCGTAAATGACAACTCTCATTCATGTCAGCCCTACAACCCATAATGTTCTTGTCCTGTATATATGTACATTGTGAGATCATTTTGATCCAACAAATTTTTAAATTGTGCTAAAATTAAAATTTAAATTAATGTGAGTTCTTTATGAAGCGATACGACGTTTTTGTCAATATGATGATTTTCGGAAAGTTGAGTCAACAAACCATGGTGGTCCCAAAGGGTCCATTGTGGTTCCCTTTAAGAAAGAACAAAGAATATAGACAGAAGATAGAAGAATAAAAGAGAAAAATATGAGAAGAGGTATATTCCCCCAGATAGGTTAAAGGAAGAAAATGGACATGGAAGTGAAATCTCTATTGTCAGTTACTTAAATAACAAATCAATTCCCCTGATAAAACACAGAATGAAGCCTAAGTTCCCAATTCATCGGTGAATCTATTACCTAGCCATTTCAGTCTCAGACTTTTAACTCTAGGACAGTTTCATCTACTTCGTCTTCAGACAACATGCAAAAATCCTGCGTGTTACCAACCCTATTACCTCTAAAGGCTCTTATTGCACAGTTGCCAGTTATCACCCCTACTAAAGTCCTTATACTCTTTATGTCGAATCCTAATAGTACTCTGGTTGCTTTTGCGTTAACGGCCATATTGCCTTAGAAATTCTGCAGTCCATCCTACTGTGCCAGTATCGGTTGGCAGAGTCTTTGAATTTTTCGGAGATTAGTTTATAGTAATAGCAGATAGAATGTTTTACAAGACTATCCCTACTATTAAGGTCTAGATCCGAACCCTATCTGGCCAATTCATATGCGATCTCGTTACCTTCTACTCTGGTAGCTTTTGCGTTAATGGCCATAGTGCCTTAGAAATTTTGCAATCCATCCTACTGTGCCAGTATCGGTTGGCAGAGTCCTTGAATTTTTCGGAGATTAGTCTATAGTAATAGCAGATAGGATGTTTTACAAGACTATCCCCACTATTAAGGTCGAGATCCGAACCCTGTCTATCCAATTCATATGCGATCTCGTTACTTTCTATATCCACGGTCTTTTTGCAGCTAAGATCTCCTCCCGAAAGACGCTACATTAGTCAAGAAGTCTATAAGACAATTTTATGTCTCTATCAACCAGATAAACTCCAGCCCTGTACCGGATTCCTTCTTGGATCCACCAGACTGCACAACTCCAAATAGTACTTCGAACCCAATCCGAACGTCCGTACAATTGACGGTAAAACTACGAAGTCCAAGGTTATAACCAAATGATCAGAGATATCCTCCGTAGGGTTGTTGTGTTCTTGTGTTCTCTCAATGTACTTCCTTCAGTTCAGTGCGACCTATCTCGTTCAATATTCTAGTGTGGCCTACCCGCTTTGATCTTACCAGAGCTGATTCAAACAATCTAAATAAGTTCCTTGCCGCCACGCTCTGAACGGGGAGCTGCGGTCGAGAAAGTCCCTAGGTACTTGGCTCCTTTTCAAAAAGTCAATCTAACGCCGTCAGCAAGCTGAAACTCTTTCCTTTGAAGAGAACTAGTTCCGTCTTAGATAGATTCACACTCAACTCAGTCGAATCCAAGCTAAAACTACCTCTGTCGTTAAACCCAACCCATTTCCATTAGTCCAGATTGATAGATTACTTACTTTACTGATTGTCGAAATAAATTTACCTAGAACCAGTGTCATTTGCATAAGCGACTATCTTTCCACCTTTAGATTCAAAGAGCCTGAGGTTAAAGTTGACCGCCAGTCAAGGAGTGATAACACTCCTCCTTGGGATGCACCCCTGGCAACTCTTTTCCCAATTCTATTATCACCTAAGATTGAGTATAAAACTCTGCCAGCAAGCATCGATATAGCCAACTCAATAGGAAATCCTGAACCCCGAGTACGACTTGCGACTCCCTAATGTCTAAAAAACATGTATCTATATATCTTTCGTCACAGACGTGTCTTGCATTTTGAAAAAAAGGCATTTAAACAAATCTTACTTTGTAGTTCCTTTGTTTCTTTATTTTTAAGAAGTTTACTTAACAATCTAATCTTAGTATTTAGTTCACTTTGTACTATTTAAATTCTTTAATTTAATAAACAACTCCTTTGCTTCGCGCTTAACAATTTTACCATTGAAATTCTGTGGCAATTCATCCACAAACACTACACCATTGTGCAATTGTTTCTGTCTAGCTTTTAAGCGATTCTTAACATGTTCCACCACATCTTGTTCCTTCAGCAAACTACCCTTTGCCCTAATAACTAGGGCTCCAGCTACATCACCATAATACTCATCATAAACACCCACAACACAACAATCAATCACATCGTTCAGTTCGCGTATACAATTTTCAATTTCACTCGGCCAATAGTGTTCCGAAAGATATTTACAAATCTCTTTTTTACGATCAATTATATAAAGAAAACCATCTTTATCCATATAACCCAAGTCACCACTGTGAAACCAGCCCAAAGAATCTCTCATACGTTGGGTCTCTATGGGATTGCCATAGTAACCGGCCCAATGATAGGGATAGTGTACCTGAATTTCACCCACTTCATTGGGTCCTAAACTATTACCTTGTTCGTCTTGTATCCTCAAGCGTATATTGGGTACAAGTTTACCCACTGAGTTGCCACGTTCTAAACCAAAATAGCCCGATACGCCACCAGCTTCTGTGAAACCATAGCCAAAACAGATTAAAGCACGTGGCAAGATATTTTGGGTTTTTTCCAAAGTTTTGGTGGTTATACAGCCACCTCCACATTGTAGAATTTTAATTGTTGCCATGTTTTCAATAGTAAAGTTGGGACATTGTGTCAAAGCGACAACATGAGAGGGTGCCAGAGTGGCATTAGTTATTTTGTATTTTCCGGTAAGTTCTATAAAATATTCAGGCGTGAAGGGTTTGCGTGAAATGATGCGGGTACAACCCGAGTAGCAACTGAATATCATGATCATAAGGCCACTCATCCAGTCCAAACCACTGGCGGTGTATAGGACATCTTCGCTGGTAATGGCACTGAGGAATAAAAATCTATAATACTAATAAATATAAATTTACTTAACTTACGGATTTTCAAACATCAATTTATTAACGGATATAGTGACAGCTTTCGGTAATCCAGTAGTTCCTGAAGAACAAAGTATAGCTACAGTTTGATCGGAACCCAATGAAAGTTTTTCAGGTCTAAATGTGTGAAGAACTCAAATAGTTTATTACAAAATCTCCGGAATTTTAAACTTTTACTTACTGATAAAAGAATTCAGTTTTTGTGGGTTGCAGTAGATCCAGAACAGAGGCAACACCCTCAATATGTTCACTAACGGTATAAATAAGAGGTCTAAATGACTTTGTGGCTAAACGTATTTTCTCATAATCCGAACCATCACAGAATATAATACCAGGTTTGGTAATACCAAAGCAGTGGGCCAAAGATTCTGTAATTTAAAGGAATATTTTGAATCCCTTAAAAAAAAACGATAATTCTCTTCTTACTTTCATCATACATGGGACTGACCGCATGAAAAGGTACCGAGTTGAGGAAACAACCAACCGCTACAGGCATTAAATAGGTGGTATTGCGTGCCGCTATGCCCACCACATCATCATAACTTAAACGCATTTTCTTAAAATGTTGAGCTATACGTATGGCCCATGTCAAAGCCTCGCGATTTGTTAGACTTTTATTCTCAATATCATCGATCTTGGGGACAATAAAGAGTTAAAATTTATTCTCTTGAAGTATTTGTAAAACACTTTCTTACCTGTATTATTTTATTAGGATAATTTCTCATTTGTCCATATAAAATTCTACCCACCGAATGATGTTCAATATTGTGCAGTGGTTCCATTTTGGTGCCACTCCATATTTTCGTATGTTTGTCATAATTGGCGCTAATAAGTTGATCCATTATATGTTTACCTTACGAACTGTTAACGGACACTGATTTATTTTCAATTTGTTTAAAATAGAAAAAAAAATATTTTTAAAGTATTCTGTATTTTGTATATTGATACTTGTACTTTATCTTTTAAAGTAGCTAATTAGAGATAAAGATTTTAATGCTCCAAGTTATATTTTACGCATTAGACAAGCACTTGTGTACTTAGAAATAGAAACAAAAACTTGGTGTTTCCTAAAACTTACTCGTCAACTATCAGTTATATGCAGAATGTGTGTCACAAATAATTGAGTTTTCAAACCAATTAAGAATATATTTCATTATCAAGTATAGGGTTCTTCAGTAAGAACTATACATTAGCGATTTGCGGGTTAGTTATGGAAATGATTTTCATTTCGAATAAGAGTAGAATGAAAAAGTACTAAAGAGTGAACTTCGATATAATGTCATTTTTATCGGAGGATGTTAGATGTTAGGTTTCTAGGTTCAATATTAAAGAAAATACTAAAAGTACCATTTGATGAACGAAACAGTACTAAAAATTTTCGTTTATAGATTTCTATTCAATCAGGTCCGTGTAGATTAACTGCCTTATTCATAAACATTTGTTTTATAAACTTTTGATAAATTTTTATGAATAATACCCTATAACGATGTTATAGCGGAATAATCTATACCCAGTTATCTAACCATGACTGATTAGTGACTTTGTGGGTAAAAATTAATAAACACTTGATAGCCGAGATCATGCAACGGCATCTTATTATAAATATTAGTGGTTCCTTCAATATCTCGAATATATCCTTTATGTTCCTTCAATATCTTGAATATATCCTTTATATTTAAATATCTATATATACCACCAGAATCTTTACAGATGGTTCTAAAATGAACTTCGGTGTAGGTTCTGGTGTCTTCTATAAAGAAGCTGTATATATCGAGGCGGTATATATCGAGTCGGCTGGGGCTCTCCTTTAACGAGTACTGTCACAGTTGCAAAGACAGAAAAAAGGAAGAAACGATCATCCATCTTCTCTGTGAATGACCTAGCCGTTAAGAGAAACAGTTTTCTGGGCAGCTGTCGTTGGTAAGATATCTTGGTCTAAGCTTAATGACATCTTAAGATTTCTCACTACTACAGGCGGGATCTAATACTATACAATACTACATCTGACGAGTGGAGTGGTTTGGTTAAAACGAAGTCTCTTTGACTCTACTTGACAGATCGAGCGTAATGAACTAAAACGATAACCAACCAACCATTCAAAGATCCAAGTGACTTAAAGGTTGAATATGGTCATAATTTCCTGGTTTATTTACGGATATAAAAAGAGTATTTGATGGAACCTTGTTGTAAATAAAAGCTTTTCGAAGCTCAGTACCAAGATATTTGGATATACTGAAAACAAATATAAGAGATCTCATGGAATTAACTCTGCACAAACTACTATTATGGAACAGGAAAAACGTTATAAAGGTCAATCTTCACTTTTGGCACTTCATATTACTATTATCTTGACCTAAAGGGGTCAGGTAATTTTGGAGGCTCAAAGTTGAGTGACCGAATTTGAGATAGCAGTACCTAAACCAAACTTTAATAGAACCATCCAAGTCTGAGAGTCATTTTAATTAAAATTTTTGATTTATACACCGACTTTCACAAAATGTTTCATTCAAATCGAAAGACCCAATAACACAGCTGAATACTAATAAGATAAGACTAGACTAAGTCTCTTTACATCTCCCAATGCTCTCACCGGGATAAAGTCGATATGTATTCTCTGTAAAATTGATATGGGTTAAGCCCCTTTCACACTAGCACACAAGTAATATGATCAGTCAAAATTTTGTGTAGAAGAGAACGGATGGGATCGTCTAAACGCAATATGTAATGAAACCATCACACATTGAGAGAAAATACGGATGGAAAATTTGACAGTCGTATGGCTCTCTTCATTTTTTGAAATGATTCAAAAAGCAAGCAAGTCACATTAGATCAGGGATGTATTTTTATGTAAACACATACAAAAAAATTTAAACAGCTGTTCCATCTTACTTTGTTATTGTTTTATACCAATCGTGTAAACACAAAATAGTATTTACATATGTATATAGATGTCTGATCGTAATAACTAATCCACTTAAAAGTTATTTCAGAAGTTTTTTAGAGAATGAAGATTGATATATGGGCAATTCCATACGATTGTATGTGACATTCGCATGCCTTCAGAGTGGTATAGATTTTGTAAAATTAGGATTACTTGAAAACAATTATGTCATTCTGTTCCATTTAAAGAATACTATATTTGCAAAAGGAATCATCCCATTCGGAACCTTGTTTTCCAAAATATGGATTAAAATATGGCGATATCATACGCGACAAAAAACGGAAGTTTTTTTAAAGTACATGTAAATATTTACCAAAATCTGCGAATTCTGTAGGTGCATCTTTTTTGTTTAAATTTCTTCACTATGGGACATATTTTTTATTAGTAATCCATAATTTTTAAATAAAAAAAAATAATAATATAATTTTATAATGGACATTTTTAAATATCGTACGTGACACATCGAATGTGACAGATTTTTCTCCTGATTTTTTTTAGGTTATAAAATATATATTTTAAAAATATATGCATACACACACTTCAACAAATCAAAAGGAGTAGGAAAGTGCAGTTGGACACGGCCGACCTATATACATGTTTAAGCAATTTATAGATAAAAATAGAAAACTGGAGTCAAATGTGGAGTCAAATGTGTTGACTAGGGTCAAATGTGGACCGATCCTCATAAAATTCTAGGGTGTGATTTTAATTCATATAAAACTTATTTGTGCCAAATTTTGTCATAATACTAGTGATTAGAGGTTAGTTACGGACGTTTAAGTGTTTTTCTGAAATTAAACTTTGAATGGAACTAGGGTCAAATGATGTCCAATCGTTATGAAAATCGGCATAAAGGTTTAGGCTTATAAACATTTTAGATCTGTCGATTTTTGAAGGTATAGTATTATAATTAACAGAATTATGTTCAAAATTTTTGAACAGTTTTCGTCTTTGGTGCTACAAAAGATAATATACCAAATTTTGTTGAATTATCTTAAAAAATGCAGAAGTTATAAGGGTTTTATTTTTTCAGTCGTGGTTTACCATATGTTGTTATTAGGCTTGGGGGGTAATGAATACATAAAGTAATTCATTGCTTTATGTAATTACAATTACATTACTTATAATGTGTAATTTATAAAATTACCAGATATTTGTAATTGTAATTTATGCAGCATTAATTACAATTACATGTAATTATAATTCAAAAGTAATTTTAATTGGTCAAACTTCAATCACAAGTAATTGTAATTGGTTATAGCTTTAATAACAATTACTTTAATTACAATTGTAATAACAAATGTAATTATTATACCCAAGCCTGACTGATACAAGTCTCTTTAATTTCATTTCACATTACAAATGTTTGTAATTAGCAAAAACTTCAATTACAAGTAATTGAAATTGCTTAAAAGCTTTAGTTATAATTACATACTTTAAATGTAATTGTAATCAAATTGCAATCATTACCCCAAGCCTAAATGGTTCAGGCCTCTTTCATCATTCACACTGTTTCAAGGATATGTCTCTAATCTAGAGTACAACAAGAATAACAAGGCCATTCAAATTAGAGTGAAATCCTTTTAATTCTTCACTATTGGCCAAGTGCTTCCCAAGTGTACAAGTTTCATGTATAACCTATTGTAGAGTATCAATTGCCTTTATATCGTTGCATTATCAAATAATTGCTTTAATAAATGTAATTATTATTACTCCCACTTTTAATCTTATCAGTCAAAATGTGTCTACTAAAGTAGTATATTTTTATAAATTTCTTGAAGTGCTATGATTAGTAAATTATATCGCATGAGTTAAAATTTCTTATCAATTTTGATTGTCAGTAAACATTTGTTTTATGATGATTCATCAAGTCTGACTATAAAATTTACAAGCAAATGTTGACTACTAACGTACATACATACATATGTATATACCTACATAAATAAATAAATAAAATGTTTACATTAATAAACAAGTGAGAAGGCATGTTAGGGCATGGTCAACCATATGATACCCTACACCTATTATGATTATTTAACAATAATTCTCTTATATTTATGTAATTTATTTATATGGAGACATGGGACAAAAATGGATGCAATTTGGAGGGAGGATTTATGATTATATAACAAATATTTATGCTGAAACAAACAATTTCCTCCCCAATATATTGGTGAAGGGTACGAGTTTTGCAACTTTTATTATTGGATATTAAAGTAGTTACATATTAATTAAATTTAAAATTAAATCATTAACACTAAAGATTATATTTATACACTTCACTTATAGAACATAAATTCTTATATTCTGGATTAACACCCGTCAAACACTTACTAGCCGTTGGACCCTTTTCATATACGGGTAAATTGTATATATTATTGCGAGCATAATTACAAGCAAAATATATTGTATTCAAACGTCCTTTCTTCTCTGCCACAGCTCCGCAACCAATATGTGTATTACGCTCATTGATTACAGTAGTAAAGTGAGCAATAAACTCATTATCTGAACCGAAGATTCTATGAAAACTATCCACATCAGATTGTTCTGCATAAATATATTCCGAATACCAAACGTTTATCATTTGTTTAATAATTCCCGCCAAATCCTTTGTACGTCCCGACCAATTGTGTGAGGCTAAATTTTGCCCAGTCACTTTGAATTCATTGGTATTGTGACAAAAATCATGTTCATCATTACAGGTCATAGCATTTAATTGTGCGTACGTAGCCAATTCGGGGTGCCATTGTGTAGTGCCCATACGAGCAGCAGGTTCGAAATGGGTCAAATTACCCGCCAAATTGTTGCGAAGTATATTGTGTTGTTGTATTATAAGTGATTGCAAATTGTTCAAGTTGATTAGTTTAGCATTGTGGGAACATTGAGGCGAGAGGGTCTATAAAGAAATGTTAGATTTTACAGCACAATTTGATGTAATTGACTATTACATAGAACATTTGTGTAAAGAAAACACTCTAAAAAATAAAACAACAATTTCTAGACCTTAGATCTATTTTTAATAAAATTCTCATACAAATATCTCCATAAACTATTGGATATAATATATACCCGGAGTGCTCTACCTTGGGAAACTCCGGACCCAGGTTCAAAAAGTCCCAAGTCAAAAGGTCCAAACTTAAACTCGTAAACTAATCTTCCGTACAAATCGGCCAATGGTTTATAAATAACAAATTTATTTCTCTTCGATATACAATAGTCTTAACTAACGATCAGTCTAAAGTCTTGACTGTAGATTAGTCTATAGACTTGACTATAGAGAAGTCTATAGGCTTGACTATAGATTAGTCTATAGGCTTGACTATTGATTAGTCTATAGTCTTGACTATAGATTAGTCTATAGTCTGGACTATAGATTATTCTATTGGCTTGACTATAGATTAGTCTATAGTCCTGACCATAGATTAGTCTATAGTCCTGACTATAGATTAGTCTATAGTTTTTACTATAGATTAGTCTATAGCCTTGTCTATGGTTAGTCTATAGTCTTGACTCTAGATTAGTCTATAGTCTTAACTATAGATTAGTCTATAGTCTTGACAACAGATTAGTCTATAGTCTTGACTATAGATTAGTCTATAGTCTTGACTATAGATTAGTCTATAGTCCTGACTATAGATTAGTCTATAGTCCTGACTATAGATTAGTCTATAGTCCTGACTATAGATTAGTCTATAGTCCTGACTATAGATTAGTCTATAGTCCTGACTATAGATTAGTCTATAGTTTTTACTATAGATTAGTCTATAGCCTTGTCTATGGTTAGTCTATAGTCTTGACTCTAGATTAGTCTATAGTCTTAACTATAGATTCGTCTATAGTCTTGACTATAGATTAGTCTATAGTCCTGACTATAGATTAGTCTATAGTCCTGACTATAGATTAGTCTATAGTCAAGACTATAGATTAGTCTATAGTCCTGACTATAGATTAGTCTATAGTTTTTACTATAGATTAGTCTATAGTTTTTACTATAGATTAGTCTATAGCCTTGACTATGGTTAGTCTATAGTCCTGACTATAGGTAAGTCTATAGTCTTGACTATAGATTAGTCTATAGTCTTGACTATAGATTAGTCTATATTATAGATTAGTCTATAGTCTTGACTATAGATTAGTCTATAGTCTTGACAATAGATTATTCTAAATTCTTGACTATAGATTATTCTATAATCTGGACTATAGATTGGTCTATAATCTTGACTATAGATTAGTCTGCAGTCTTGTCTATAAATTAGTCTGCAGTCTTGTCTATAGATTAGTTTAAAGTCTTGCCTATAGATTATTCTTATCTTAATCTTATCTTAACCATAGATTAGTCTATGGCCTTGACGATAGATTATTCTCGGACGGGAAAAGTGTTAGAACGATGGTAAACTTCTCTAACAACTTTTAAGGCTGAAACTTATTGGCATCACTTACCCAACTATGACCACAGGCTATATGAGGTACATTGGAACAATTATTGGAACAGGGGTCTATGCTTAAATGATGTTCATCTGTTCCGGAAAAAGGTTGTTTTTGTGTAGGTGATTTAAACTTCATAGCCGACAAATCTATACTTTGAAGGCCCTTATTCAAATCGATATCAATAAAGTCATCCTTAACGGCTGTTAAGTCATCGGAATTTTCACTAATAGATGAAACTGACTTATCAGGCTTTTTATCATTACCAGTTGTCTTTGCAGAAGTGTCAGATTTATGCGATTTTTCGGTAGTAGACGTTAAGGACTTTTCGTGTTTTTCATTATCAGGTTTCACAGAAGTATTTTTTTCGTCCTCTATTACTGGTGATTCCTCACTGGAACCTTCGGACATTTCCAATTCATGTGTAAATTTATTATAACGAAAATGTATTAAAATTTCATCAATTGTATTTGTCCAAAAATCTATCTTATTTTGCTTTTCACTTCCTCGGTCTGCATAAGAAGTTGGCCAAAATATCATTAAAATTAATAGGAATAATACGAATTTTATTATTTTAGACCACATCGTGTTGTAACAATTACAACTTCTCAGTTAAGTATCTAATATGAAACTAATTATTTATTTTGTATTGTTTGAAATAAGTTTGCAAAATTAACAGAAATTTAGCGAAAGGGCATATAGTTAAATTTATTTTTAAAAATTGTTTAAATATTTGCTTTCAATAACATCTTAATTTTAACGCAAATCTCACGTTATTTTAATAATTTTATATATTCGTCATAAGCACAAAGCGACTTAAATGTGTTTTAAATCATTTTCGTATTCATAAGAAACTTGAAGGGATTTTAACAATTTACAAGGAATAAATATGTATTTGTATGACAAAATGTTTTTTAACAGTGGGATATAATAAAAAATATTTTGAAAAAAGTTACCTTACCTTATTAAGATAACATTTCACTTTGGCAAAGAAGAGTAGTATCCAGATTTATGTTTTGGATGGACTTCATAGAATATGGACTGAGGTTCGTGAATTTTTAATTTAAACTTCTTAGAGACCTCGATTAAAGTTTTTACTTCAATCAAAGCTCTGGAGACGTTGATAGATATTCCACCCATTGAAACATACTTAAGATATGAAGCGGCGCTTACAGCTGAACGGCTCTTTACTTTAGGCGAACTGGCCAAAAGCCGTTATAGGACACGTCATAATTGTATACTGGACACATTGGAAGGTTATACACAATCATCGGACGTGCTTGATCGCATACCAGACGCAGAATATATCGGAAACTTTAAAACGCTGATCCCAGATAAAATGTCTTGGTCAAGCGGAACATTAGAGCAAATACCAGTAGGAATCCGTTGTTACACGGATGGCTCTAAATTGGGGGACAAAGTGGACTTGGGGTTCTTTATTAAAGGCCCAGAAACAGATATATCGCCCTCTACCTAATCATAACACAAGCTTCCAGGCAGAAGTCCGAGCAGTAACGGAGTGCAAATTGAATTAGAATAAATATGGCGCCCACAGGCCTCAATATATTTACCGACAGTCAGAAGGCGATTAGGGCGATATCATGTGATAGAATTAAATCAAAGACGGTATTGGAATATAAGAAAGCTTCAACTGTATACTCTCCCGGAGGTAAGGTTTACATCATATGGGGACCAGGCCACTCGGGAGTAGTCGGCAACGAAAGAGCGAATATAATAGCATTAAAGGGAAGGGAGCTCAAGGTAGTTAACCTGAAAAAACGCAAAAGAACTCGACGCAACAAAAGCTGAATAAAAAATATGGATGAGAGAATCCCGTAAGGCCTCTTGGAATAATGAAATGATGGGTAAAACTACAAAGATATGGTTTGACCCTGATGAGAGCAAGACGAGGAATCTCCTCAAAATGAGCAAGTCTGAAGTAACACTGACTGGAAAATTCTTAGGAATTACGTCCAGGAAGCTGAGTTTCTGAACATTGAAAAATAATACAATAATACATTATTTTTCATTTCATGAAAAGGAGCGCACAACAGACCCGATAGCAGCATAGGTGTATTTCTTCTGATATCAGCCTAACCTAATAGACTGTTTTCGATATCGAGAGAAAAGCTAATCGAACGAAAATGAATCAAAGGAATTCGATAAAAGTTTGGGGTACAATTCTCATTTGCAACTGTAAAAAACCTTATATAGTGATCTATGAAGGTATTATCGTCCGATGTTCCGAAAATTAATTTCCTCGAAGAATTTTCCAATCAGTCTTTGTGAAGGATGTTAAAGCCGGAATAATATCGCTCCCAAGATATTTAAATATTATTTAGACGAAAGCTCGACAATTACAAAGAAAGTTCTCCAGAAATACATATGTCATCTTCACATTTCTCTGAATCCACTTATGGTGTCCACTTAGAATAGTACCATTATTCTAACTTTGAACTTGATCATTTTGAAGAGGCGTCTCTTCGTACTGTCGTTGGGGTTAGACCAGGATATTTGTGGTTCTACCCACATTTATTTTTCCAAGTGGCCTTTTAGTATTCTCTCGCCCGTATTTTTAATTCCGCCCACGTTGCGCCGAACGGTTTTGCGTTTGTCAGGTTAACTACCTATAGTTTCCTTTCCTTTACACCAAGTACATTCGCACCGAGTGGGCTGGTACCCATATGAAGCTCACCTTTTGAAGGATAAAACTCCCTTACAGTCCAATACGGTAGATAGATACTCTAGCCAATTGGCTGCAAATACTATTCAGTTAAATGTGAAATAATGTGGTTAAGAACGACCACTCATTACCAAGTAAGGTATAAAATAACAACTGACTTTCTATGTGGTACACATCATTAAATTGCCATAAAAATATCTTTAAAAATTATCACAGAAACAATAAGTAAGTAAATGTACATTGAAAATACCTTCATCGATGTTTAACAATATGTATAAATATTAATTTTAAGAGAATTATATTTTTATCATCATGTTATTATCACACATTAAATATGACTGACATAATATTTCATTATTATGTGTTTTAAAGCCCACTACATAATTTATTTTAATAAATTTTATAATAATTTTCATGCTATTTAAAAAATCCATCAGTTTCATTTTGCTTGTTAATGCTTTTAAGAAAATTTCTATAGCACCAGGGAACTCTGCTATTCGTACACTGTTTCCAAAAGATAAAAAAAAAAGATATTTAGTTAAGAAAAATTTAACTGTTTGTGCCAAATTTTAACTTCCTTTAAGTCTGCTATTATTCTTAGATCAATTAGGATGTTTCTGTAAAATTGTGCTTTCAACATCACATACATTGACAGACAGACAGACAGACAGACAGACATATGTAGGTCTCTTAGAATTTTATAAGGTTCCAGAATATAATGTTATGAGGTCTTTGGGTGTAAATAATGATAAACTTATTTGATACATTTGTATGTTTGTATGTATTTAATATTATTAACAGCTGGAAACAGTTTTGTATTCATAGTTAATCGCAAAAACCCATTTTTCTGCAAATTATAGGAAATGATAAAAACCAGACAAACTATTATTTGCAAAGTATGTTTGTATGCTTCTGTGTATTTGAAACTTAAGAATACAACTCCCATAAATAAAATAACCAACATGTGCAACAGTTATACGAGTTCAGTTCATAAAAAAATGTAGAAATAAGAATTTCATTTTACACTTAGAAAAAAAACTTTGCAACTATAAATGTAGAGTAAAAAGAATCAACAATTATTAGCGATATATGAAGCTCCCTTAGTAAATGGTTTTGATTTTAATAAAATTCAATTCCTTTAAATCCCTTTAACAATCGCTGTGAGAATTGCTTATGTTCGAATATATTATCATACTACTTGTTTAATTGAAATTGCAACACATCGTATACTGAAAGTGCGATGGGGTATATTATCCACAGGAACCAAAGGCTGACATTTTCCAAATAAGTCTACTTATATTCATAGTCTTTGTTTTTTTAGCACCCATTCGTATAAATGGCGCCGACGGAAAATTACTTACACAGTCAAAGGTATGGCGATTATAGAGCAATCGTGATCAAAATTTGTAACCAGATATATGTGAATTACACAGTATATTGGACCACATTTTAATATAATCTCCTTAAAAAGCTCAAAAAATACTTTAAATTTCAATTATGACTTTAAAATAGATAGAATAGAATAGATAAATTTCGACACAAGCAAATTGGGAAGAACTAAAATATCTCTCTAAATTGTGTTGCAATGATAAAATTCAAAAGTAATTGTTTATTCTAAGATATGTTTAATCAGTCTTTCAAATTCTCTAGTGTTCAGATCATAAAAGGGTTCTTCAGAAAATTATCCTGATGTCTTAGGTAATGATGTAATGTCGATATATGATAAAACAATACAGAAATCAAACTTAGTTAAATACCTTTGATGTAGACCTATCGGAAGGCTGGTACTTTTTAGAGTTCTATAAATCGACTTTCGAATAATCAACAATCGACTTTTTGTCGCAAAAAGTCGAAGTCGACTATTTTGTTCCAAAAAAGACGATAACTCGACTATCGTCTATGGAAAAAGTCGATAAGTCGAAAAAAGTCGTAAAAAGTCGAAAAGTCGGAAAAAGTCGAAAACTCAAAAAATCGAAAATAGTAGAAAAAAGTCAAAAATAGTCGAAAATTTGAAAAAAGTTGAAAAAAAGTCAAAAACTTTCAAATAGTCGGAAAAACTCGAAAAAAGTCAAAAAATAGTCGAAAGAAGTCGAAAATAGTCAAAAAGTCGCAAAAATCGAAAAGTCGGAAAAAGTCGAAAAATGTCGAAAAGTCGGAAAAAGTCGTAAAGTCGACTATTTTTAAAATACTAAAAGTCGAAAAATCGACTTTCCATAAAATGCAAAAAGTCGAAAAGTCGACTTTTCGTTTCAACTATAGAACCCTAGTACTTTTCCCACCGCAGAGTGAGCTAGAGACCATACACCACCGACCATTTTTGACTTGCAAAAACACGCAGGTTTTTCTCAAGTTCCTGACCATTACAGTCCCGTTGCTTTCTGTCCGGCATTCTGCAGATCATATCTGAAGCATTCCTCGACATCAAATATTAACCACACTTGATTCGGTAATAGCTCCTATAGACGTATTTGATAGGTCGATGTAAGATCTCCATCAATAAGCCAAGACTTCGTTCTTACTCTCAGGGGATACACTGCGATGATTCTAGTATGAACAGAGTAAAATCTGAACATATCATGACAGAGAAGGGAATTTTATCGATAACATATGAATATATTATGATACGATTAACCCATCTCACAACTCTTTCATACCACACATTCAAGGGAAAACTCACGCAACACATTATTTCATAATAGTGCACGTGGATAGAACCGAACACACTCTAGTATTTCAGTCTTTTGATATCAACTCCAGTGCCACTGTCAAAAACATCCTAGTAAAATATCTTAAAATTTTAGCAATGAGTATTGTAGGTAATGCAGTTACTTCATACATTACTTGGTAATGAGTGGTCGTTATCAATAACATTAATTAAATTTGGAGCCTATTGTCTAGAGCGTATGTCTTATAAGGAATTAGTTAGTTGTTCTAAAACTAGTCG